ATTTTTTTTTTTTAAATATATATTTATATATAGTTTTATATGTGCCAGTTTTTAACAGACACATTTGTGTCACAAGATCTTAGGAAATCCACTTAAAGTAACCAAACAAAATGTGACCTTTTTGATGTAATTTAATAGTAAGAAAGACATTGTTTCTATTATGTGATGAATGTTCAGTTGTTCATAAAAATTGCGAATGTCAGGCATTGAGTTAGGATAACATATTTAGACAGAGGAGTCTTGTGCTGTTTGTATTAAATGGATTTCAGTTGTAGTAGTAATCCGCAGCAGAAACATATTGGATTGTAAGAGCTGTTTTAGCCGTAAGTTGACCATTTTATGTTTTTTGCTCTTTGGCAGATTGGCTCTGAGTGTACTGCCTCTGGCACCTGCTAAACCTCCGAGAACTTTCAGTGAGTTAAGTGAGTCCAGCATGGAAAACCTCTCAGCTCCCAAATCTGACAAGAAGCGAAAGGCTCCTCTACCCCCCGGTTATCATGGCGGCTTGTCTATGACTGAAAGTCATCCTAATGATGGGGAACAAGCGCATACCCAGAACTCCAAAGATAGTCAGAGGCCTGTTATTCCTCTCCCGGACTATGAAACCCTCTTTCCTAAGAAGAGGCATGGGGTGATGGGTCAGACACGTTGGGACCATCTTGTTGCAGAGGTAAACCAGAGAAACTGGGAAGAGATGAATGTTGATGGACCTGAGAGGCCGATGCCAAATAAATCTGCGGTCTTGAGGGACAGAACCTCAGTGAACCTTAACCAGCACCAAAGAAATCATGAGGCACCTCCCCCTGCCCCCACGAGGCACAAAGAGGCACTCATTCCACCCAAAGCTCCTGCTCCTGCGACACCAGAACCATCGGTCGAGACTAATGTCCAACATGGTCATATCAAAGAGTCTTTATATGCTACTGTCAATAAGTCTGGAAAATCTGCTAACAAGAACTTGGAAAACAATCCACCTCCCGCTGTCCGTAGTCGACATGTGCCTCAGGAGACGGAAAGGAAGTCTCCAACACCTGATGCCATTACCCATCAACTCTCCCAGTCAAAAGAGAAGCCTATGCCAGCAGCCAGATCCATTCAAAATGTAAATTCAAAGACTGATGATGTGGCTAAAGAGATGCCTTCTGTCAAACCCAGACAACAGTCATTATTCAAGGACCCAGTCAGACAAGTCCAACAAGACAAGCAGGTAACAACTAAAGCCATGACATTAGAAAACAACATAGATGAGAAACCACACAAGGGCCAGAAGAGAAGCATTTCCACAGATGGGTTTGTTGAAGTAGACCTCCTCAGAACTGCTGAAAATCCAAAAGATCTGTATTTGGGGAAACTGGCTAATGAACCCGAGGGGAAGGGAATGATTGCTCTCGATCCATTCCCAAGTGATAACCTACTATCTAAAGATCCCTGGGCTTTACCACAGCAGACCACCAATGAAGATGACCTGTTCACTAAGGGTCCAAAGCAAATGGGAAATCTTGAAGATCAGACATCAACCTTTGATAAGAAAGATAACAAGTCTGCAAACAAAGCTACAAATGATCCATTCACAAATCTTTCAGAAAAAAGCATGGCACCGAAATCAGAGCATGGAAAACAATCCCCCAGCTTCACTGAACAAGCCAGAGCCACATTTCAAAGAAATTTTTCTCTTAGAAAGAAAAATTCATCTCTCCAATACACAACTACTGAAAAAGCTGGTACAGAGAATACTAGTCTGGATAGATCAGTTTCTCAGTCTTCACAAGATGCTGAAGATGTTGAGCTGACTGTAACCAGTGTTGCTCCTCCAAGCAGAACTGATCCCACACTAGTAACATCTGAATCCCCTATAGGGGGCAAGAGTACTCTTCGTGCTTGGGTCTCGCCATCAGAGGCTCAGCCAGTTGCACTGCAGAATGGTAGTGGAAGTGCAGTTTCTAATTCAAGAAGGTGAGAAAAGTTCTCCCGACCCTTTCTAACAACTCCTCTAACAGTCTGTCGTCCCTGTTGTGCTAAACCCATCGGCTTTCAAATCAACAGCTGCTATTTACTCTGAAACTACCTGAATCAATCTCTGGTCTTGCTCGATTAAAGGGTAATGTTTTCCTCAGCATTTGTTCGATTGGTTGCTTAATGGTTGGTTACTCCTTCATCGAATCTTGAGGGTTGGGATTGTGGGCTTGGGGTTTTGCTACTGATTGCTGATCTTGGTCGTTTAAAATGCCATGGTCTTGAAGGACTTGTGTAAATGGAACAAAGGCAGTGTCTGTTTTGTTATATGTTTATATGTTCTGTTTTGTTATTGTAGGCCATATTAGATTGTCTTTACAATGTGTACATTTTCTGAAACTGGATCTATATGAGAGGCTGTAGATGTGAGATTTACATTTACATAAATACGATGTATACAAGACTATGAAGTTACATGTTCATATACTCACATGGAGGCAAGAGTGGTGGGCATGAATTGAGTTTGTTCCAGAGATCATATTGATTTGCGAGATATTAGCATTACGCATGATTCTTGATTGCTTTACCACAAAGGTGCTTATGTTTGGGTTTTACATGTTATTTCTCTGCTGTGCTTTTATTGATCTTTTGGTTTTGTTGGGAATTACACATTGGGTGAGTTTGGAATGGTTTACTAACACATGCCAAGTCTTGCTTACTGTATATGAGAGAGTATATTTATTATACTGCATACATTGTTTTAAAAGTTATGTAGTATGCTACAAACATTTTAAAGTATGCGTCATATGCTACATTTGTCACTTGACGCATTAATTATATTACTACGTTGCATGTTTACATAAGAAAGAGGTGTCTAGTCATCATTGGGGAAAAAAACTTTAGATGCAGTGGTTTGAATTTCTTTAATTTTTTTTTATGTTTTAAGTTTTTGGCAGTCATTCATAATCTCTCCTGGTCAAACACATTGTATTGTGGAATGCAGTATCCCATGCAGTGTGCTCTGGTTGTATACTGTACATTTTCACAAATGTAGATCAACTGAAAATTCACATACCCAGTACTGAATTCTTTATATGAGATGAGTAGAAAAAAGTACGCCTTTCCAAACATACCCATGTCTCCTTAATCGAATGCTATCTTCAAGGGCCCTTGTTCACTTCATTTGAGCATTTTTCTACCGTTTTTTTTTTTCCCTTAAAATTGCACATCCTCCTCTTGGAGGAAAAGGAACATGCCATTGTCAGCAGTCAAGTTTTCATGTTCATGTTCATTGCAGTAATATGTCCGTCTCTCTTTTATCTCAGGCCTCACCCAGTGAAACCAATGAGCACCGAGAGCCAGTCTTCCAGTGTTATCACTGTGGGGAAAGACCCGAAGACTATCACCATCAAGGAAATGGCTGAGAAGTCAAAGGTACAGTAATTTTCCTAATTATTTCCTCACTATTTGCGCATTGAAGAATCGTAGTTGTTAAAAAGTTAAATCAATTAAGTAACACAAATTAAAATATGGGAATAAAAAGTTATGTATATAAAATCAGATGTAGGCACAATTTATGTCTACTCTAATTTTTTACTTTTTGTCTACTCCAGTTTTCAAATATAAGTATCGACTAATATTGGATTTTTAATCATACATGCTTATTTCCCCCTATTTTACATTTAGATTAGATTTGCCATCATCTAACACTCAAAGTTTTAAAAAATTTTAAATATGGTAATAATCTATTAACACTGAAAAATGCCTATTCATTCATATTACAATCAACATACTGTACACTATAATGTTGTGATGCCTACTTGGCTTTTAAAAAATATATTTTAGTTTACTTTTAGTGTTTTATTTTCCACTTATGTAGACAAAATAGTACATAATTTTAATATCGGCTAATCCATAGTTTTTAGGATCATGAAAAACCTTTTCATTGGTACTGTATATCAGTTGACCATTTTACCTTCATTTCACTGCATATCCAGAATATAGATCGCGGTGCATACACTCAGCTCTCACAGGAGGAACTGATCACACTGGTGGTAAAGCAACAGACCGAACTCTCCAAGAAAGACGCCAAGATCGGCGAGTTGGAGGACTACATTGATAACCTGCTCGTTCGTGTCATGGAGGAGAAACCGGCCATCCTGCTTTCACTTAATTCCAAATGTTAGGGTTTGATGCTATCATTCGATGTAACCGTGCCCAGATCACAACACTGAGACACTTTAATATTGTGGGATTTTGGTGATACAGCCAGAAGGATTTCGAACGCAATATCACATCTCATAATCAGTTTATTTGCTTGAGTATTTAACGCATGTAGAGTTGCTGGCATATGCGCATTCTGATTTCTCCACCAATATCTTACAAATAACTTTTTTTTGCAGTGTGGATATGTATAGTATAGCAAATCCAGCAGGAATATGCCAGATTTCTGCAGTCTGTCAGATCACCCATTAATAACTGGATGCTGGGCTTCTTCCTGAAGTGATTTAGAACTTGACTACTGCCTTGAGTCTTGATCAGAACGCTTCGTTAGTGTTGATGCGGCCTTATGTCTGTTGGGTCTAAAATTAAGGTAATAATCCTCTGGCTTTTTAGCACTTTTTACTTGAACGGGGTGTTTAATTTATGAAGGATAGGGTTTTTACATTAAGTAATTCTCTGAAATACCCCGTAGAATTACCTCTGTAGAAAAGCCTTAATGAAGAATTATTTTTCTGCCTGTATGTACCCTTCTGCACATTAAAAACTTCTGTTCTAACACTTCTTCTGATGTTCTAACACTGGATATATAATTCAGTTTTATTGCCCTGGTCAATATTGACTACATATTTACATTTTTTTCAGTTGAACTGGCAGTCAGCTGTTGAATCAGCCAAAATCTGCATGTTTTATGCTACATGTCAAACTGCATGTTTGTAGCGATTTTGACCAGGGATTATTAAGCATTTCTTGAAGACGGTCTTAAGAAAGCTTGATATCAACCTCTTGAGCACAATGTACATACTGTGGCATTCTGCAGTTCTGTAATGAATAAGCAATAACTGTCTGCAGGATTTTATTTCCCGAATTTCAGGTAATGCGATACGTATCATGTAGCCTGTAGACGTCACTGTCTGCACAGTGTTGTGAAACCAAAGATCTGTGATGTAAATCTGAAGTCTTACCCTACAGTACTCGAATTCTGCTTCCCACTCCCTTTTCCATTTTTCTACTTCTTATGTTTTTAATCAGTTAGTAAGTTTTTTCTTACTTTTAACCTATCTTGTGGGGAGAGAACTGTCCCTCTGACAAGGATGGAGAAAATAACTGTCTTGTATTTATTTGTTTGTGGTTAATCTTAAGTTGATTCAGTTGTCAGTCTCAGTTTTCTGTGTTGCAGTTATATATTCAGTCATGAGAACCTTCATAAGTGAGAGCATCTGCTGTGTTCATTCAAATGTTGTCAATCAGTTTGAGTGAGTTCACTAAACTATTCACAGCATTTTCACTGTTACCAGATTTTGTACGCTCCAATCCTTTGTCTGAATTTGAATGAGAAGCCTTATTAATAATTGCTGATGCTATGCATATATGCACAAGATCTATTTTCAAGACCTGTGCCTTCTCTTTTTATTCAAGGTTCTATGTCTTTAAGACATGAATATATTGGTTTGTTCCTTTACTTCAATACTTGCAGAAATGTAATTTTGATTATGCCTCAGTTCATTGAATAAAACTTAGCTGAACACATAAAGCCTGTTTTTCTTTTAAATATAATGTTTAGTTAATATTTTTTTTTTATAATGAGTAGTAGTTCATACACAAGGCTGAATGACAAAAAAAAAAAATTGTAAATAACTACAAAATTCTGTCATCATTCACTCATCCTTATGTTGTTCCAAACCTGTATGACTTTCTTTCCTCTGTGGAACATAACATAAAATATTTAAAGAAAGACTTTATTCTTATTTATCCTTATTAAATTCTTTGTCAAAATATATTATTTTGTGTTCCAGAGGGGGAAAAAAGGTGATTCAGGTTTGAAACGAGTAAATGACAGTATTTTTATTTATTTAATGATTGATTGATTGTGGTGAACCATCCCTGTATAGGCAAAGTATAATGATGATGTTTGTCATTGGTATTAATGATAATTAATGAAATATGTTGACTTTGTGCATTTGACAACCATGACAACTAGTGTTTACCCTATAAAGCCTGAAATAATAAGATTTTATTTAACAACACCGTTTTATTGAACTTTTAGGGGAAAGTATATTTAATTTCCTGTTTTATTATTAAAGCTCTGACAAACATATAATGCAATGCATATCAAATAGGCTTTATAATAGCTATACGAATGAATTCTCATAAATAAGATGATAGTATACTATACACTGTACAGTATGATAATAGTCTGACTGTTGAGTACAGTTTTGTCCATTAGATGGCAGTAGGGTACAGTACAATATATTTTCTCACTAGTCAGGCAGCTCAAGAGGATGTCATAGCCTTCATCATTACATGTGCGCTGTGTTAAAATGATACTTGGCTGCTATATTAATTGATTAAAATTGATATATTTGCAAACAGTATGAGCCTGGTGTCATTCACAGCACAACTATCAAAACATCTTAAGCTAATTATATCACCTTACATAATGTTTAAAGGTTATGCAGTCGAGGCTATCTACGATTGGCTAATTAGCAGTTTGAAACAAATGATAATTAGCAGAAAAAAAAAAACTGATATTGACTGATTAGTATCGTCAGTAAATCCAAAATCAGTCAAAGTGGGGCTTAAAATGAATGCATGGATACGTATTGAATACGTATTGCAGAAAATATAGATTTATTAATTCAGTTCCACGCTGACATATTTATGAGATTATGTGCAGATGTGATGTCTTTTACATGTGCAGTGTTACGTTCTGTGTGTAAAGTGTGTAAAACCAAATGGATAGGGGGAAACAAAACAAAACAACTTCAGATTGAAACGTGATTAGTTCTTGTGAAATTAGTGACGTTTTGCAAAAAAAAAAAAATGTAGCAAAATTTAGGTACGAAAAATTCTAAATGCAATTTAAAACCTGATTTGTGTGATTTTGTAATTTTCTGAAAAAGAAAATAAAATCTGTCAATAAAAGGTTCACAGCTTTCATCTAAAGCTATCATTAAGCACTACTTGTAGACTTGTATGTCAGCTAATAAACCTAGTTCCAAATGAAGCAGAACCAACCCTTGCATCTCCCAGTAACACAGTTTTGTTCCTGAATTAATTATGTTTGTGCAAATAAATTCAATGAATGACTCATAAAGACAGTCACTTATTTTGTTCCAGAATGAAAACAACACACTCTTGGTTCATAGCTTTTTTCCATTTTGGTGAATTTGTGGCTAATTTGTATGAATCTCATCTGCTTATGCCCCATCTGCTTGGGTTTAGGGGTGGACCTAAGTTTGGAATTTCATTTATTTATTTATTTATTTTCTAAGAATGAACGTTTCTGCACGAATCACGTTGTACAAATTCATACAAATTCTCTAAATGTCTCGTAAATTGCATTTTCTCGTGCGATTGGACTGAATTAATCGCTGTTTTGAATTAATTGGTTGAATTAATGATTCAGTGATCGCCACCTATGGCGATGTAAACTGTAGAAAGAGTTACTGAAGCGGTGTGATAGAAACAGTGAAATGTCCACTCAACCAGTTGAATTTGAGGACTGAAAATTGTATAATGATTATTTTAATGAATTTGCAACAAATTAAAATGAATTCTTTAATATGGTAAATATGTTATGAGCCAGTGTTATTTTAGTATCATTGAGATATTATTATAGTTTTTATTAATATTTTGAATTCGTTTTTTTAATATATATTTTCTGTTTTAATTTTAATTTAAAGTATTTATTTATTTATTTTGATTAATTTTTTTTTTTTTTTGTGAGCAGCTGTATGTAACTTTTTGTAGTTGGGCGCCAGTGTTAGTGTAGTATCATTGAGATATTATTATAGTTTTTATTAATATTTTGAATTCGTTTTTTTAATATATATTTTCTGTTTTAATTTTAATTTAAAGTATTTATTTATTTATTTTGATTAATTTTTTTTTTTTTTTGTGAGCAGCTGTATGTAACTTTTTGTAGTTGGGCGACTTTGGAGCCCCCTACAGTTAAGTGAGTGGAATTCACTGTCGTAATTATAGTAGATAGCTGTCACGTGCATTTGATGCTGCCGTAAAGCAATTCGCGCTTTTTTCGCGTAATTTTGTACCCGTTCACCAAAATGTTGGAGAGGGAGCGAGGAAAGAAACACAAGCTCTTCGTCTTATTAGAAGTAAGTGTACAATGAGAATGATTTTGAAACTGATATTTCCAGGTAAAAAACTTACACACATCCCTTAAAAATATATCTATATTTGTATTTATTTAGTTTCCAGTTTTAGTGTTAATTATATTAGTACTTCAAGTCAAACTAAAGTGATAGGTAAAATAAGTTAGTTTTTTATACTATATTTTATTTAATCTTACTCCAAGTTTCTTATGGTTTTAGTTTTAGTTACAATAACCCTGCTAGGAACTAATTTTTATTCAGTGTTTAACGGGGGGTCTCTTCTCCACCTCTTGGCCTAAAAGAAAGTTTGAAGACCCACACACACCAAAAGACATTTGGTGTTGTCACTACTGTTTCTCCATTTATTAAACCTTGTAGCCTGGCGGACCCTTAACATTAGAAACAAACGGTAAGTTTGAGTCATTTTCAGTCCAGGTGTAATACTGCCAGGTGTAATACTTCCAGATCTGAGACCTGGGAGCTTAACCTGGTCTGCAGCCTGCAGCTTGAGAGATGAAGAGCTGAAAGTGTCTTAGTTACTCATTTGTAGGGTGCAGCTTGTTTGTCTTTCACATTTTCTGTCATCCTCCTTGTGAATCACTGGTCTATTATCGAAGCTGTGTTTGTGTAGTTGGCTGCCTTTGATGTATTGGGATGGCAGACCATTGAAAACATCACAATCTATCACAGAAAGAGATTGAGTGGAGAGGTGGGAGAAAGAAAAACTCAAAAGATGTACTGAGTTGGTCACCATGGAAACGCTTCCTCCTTTTTATTGTTTTGTCTTTTGTTGCTCATTTTCATTTTCAGCTGGAATCACGTTGTACAAATTCATACAAATTCTCTAAATGTCTCGTAAATTGCATTTTCTCGTGCGATTGGACTGAATTAATCGCTGTTTTGAATTAATTGGTTGAATTAATGATTCAGTGATCGCCACCTATGGCGATGTAACCTGTAGAAAGAGTTACTGAAGGATATTGTGCTGAGGATATTAACATGCCCAGACCGTTTCAAAGGTTACTGACTGCAGTGGCTTTATCTTTTCATCACTTTATCTCCCTACTGTTCACATGCATTGGTGTTCCTTTGAATTAGCGATGATACTAGTGGAATCTTTAGTGCTTTGAATTAAAGTTAACGGTAATATGATACCGTTAACTAGATTTTAGTGGTGTATGTTTGTGCAAATTTTTATTTTCATGTGTCGACTAACATACTAAAGCACATGTAAAGTAATTGATTGTAATTTTATCTGTAGTGTACATATAAAGATGTACTTAAGTCCAATTTACCTGTGTTAAAAACACACTTAAGCTCAGCTATTTACATCTAATATACATTTTAATATATAAAATTTTCATTTAATTGCAAATAACGTGCAATTGCGTCCAAAAACATTACATTCTGTACTTCACTTAAGCATATTACTTCCATTATTAATCTATAGCACAAACAGTAATATTTAGAGGTTTGTACAGATCGTTAAACCTATGTTTGAGCAATAATACTCGGTTTTCTCTTGGAAAACATAATGTTACAGAGATATTCACACTGTATTCATTTACCTGAACAACAAGAAGTTAATTGCAATTATTTTGTTTACCCAATAATGTGTCTTTGTGTCCAAATCTTTGATTAATCTTCAAATAATCACTCCATCGTGAGGACACTTTATTGACCGATTAGCAAAAAATATCAAGAGTTTTCCCATCTGCATCAATGCGATAATAGTGTTTGTGCTCTCATTGTATTTCAAGCCTCAGTATAAAACAACCACCAGTTCAGACACTCTTCATTGGTGCAACATTGCATGTTACATGAATTTATACCAAATTGTATAGTTATAAATACACAAATTAGACTTTAATTTTGTTCCTTGTTTGATTCAGGACAATGACGATACTGGATTCTTAGTTCAATAGCGAACAATTTCAACTGCATTACAACATCCAAAGAGTCATGTTATTGGCTGCAAACTGAAAATAAGTTTTTGTTTGTGAAGACATTTTTTTTTTGTATATAAAGACTAGGGTTGCAAAGGGGTGGAACATTTCCAGTAAATTTCCGGAAACTTTCCAAAAATCCCTGGAATATTCCCAAAAATCCTGGTAAATTTCCAAAATTACTGGAATATTTCCGAAAGTTACTGGACATTTTCCAGTTTTTGCAACCCTAATAAAGACAATAAGTTTTTTTATTTTTCCACACTTTATTATGAGCACAAAAAAACATTAAAGGCCTAAAACATTACGAAAACATTTAATTAGTGAAAGTTTTTAATATTTCATATATATTCAATATTTCTAGGCCATGTGTTCTTTTAAAATATTTGATCTGTTTTGATGTAAATATATCTTCAGTGACATCTTGTATAAACACATGCAGTTTAAACAATTTTAATCCAACGTCTGAAAGGCATTAAAATAAGCTATAATTCACTGAAGCATTTGCTTTTTTGAAAGCTGGATATCTGAATGTTTCTGTTGCAGTATTTTAAGATATAATTTCTCTGTAGTGAGACCAACATCCAGTTTCCTTCTTAGATAATCCATATTCAAATCACAGACAGCATGGTGAAATCTTGTGACTAAATCCAACAGCTTTCTCACATGGCTTGTACATCCAAGAAACACCATCTGTGTCCATCTAAAACAAGATGCCTGTGGAGGAACCTTACAGATGGTGGAGTTCTGGTCAGGACCGATGTGAACACTTTGTTTTGCACAAATTTGCAACCCAAGTGTTCTGCTAGCCACGGTGGTCTTTGAACTAACTCGATGTGCTCTTTTTCTGTCAGAGAACCACGCTAGCGGTGGCACAGTTGTTAGCAGGAATCCCGATGCCAATCCGTCGATGACAGGTGAACATCTTGCGTAGTTCCGCCCTGAAACGATCGTGCAGCCATGCATATAAAAATGGGTTACAACAAGACGAACTCATTCCACACAAGTGACACAATAGCTGGATCAGAAGAAAGTAGCGCTTGTCGATCAGGTCTATATCAATATCCCGTAGAACATTGAAGACGCTTATCGGCAGCCAGCAGATCCCAAAAGCAGCGACGACCAATGACACCAGGCGAAACGTCTTGCGCTTCCGAGCCCGCTGGGCTTCCGCTTGGCTCTGGGTGCGATGACCTGGCACCACGCAATTGCGAAGCTTCACTGAAATGCACAAGTAGGAGATGCAAAGAGCGGACAGAGGAAGAACGTAGGTGATGAAGAGTGTGCTGTAAGCGTAGGCTAGCCGCTCTTTCTCCTGACCCATCCAGAACTCCTCGCAGATGGTAAAACCTTCGTCCTTGAACTCCACATGATATGTGTGGGCCACAGCAGGAGCTACCAGACCACACGACAGAATCCAGATCCCAGAGAGCAGATACGTGCAGGCCAGAACTGAGATGCGCTTCTTGAGTGGATGAACAGTAGCGTAGTATCTAGAAGTTAAAATTACAGTTTTAGGCAACAACAGTGATCTCACGTCTGTATCTGATGCAGAAGTGGTGCAATTTTTTTGTTCTATAATCATTCTATATATTCAAGTACACTAAACTGACTTCTCTTCTACCATGAGCACATGTTTAATTTCTGAAATTAAAGGGATAGGCCTTTTCCACCCAAAAATTCTCTCATCATTTACTCACCCTCATGCTGTCCATTGTTTCAGGCCAAATGATTAGTTTAAAAAGTTTTAAATATTAGTGTTTTTCTCACACACATCTATCATTTTGCTTCAGAAGACAATGATCCATCAGTCGCTGTTCAAAGCATCAACTTCGAGGATGAGGTTGAGTAAAAAATGTTTGGGTGGAGTAAACACTTTATTTGTCAGGCTGATACAAATTAATTAAGAAAAATATTAAAAGGAGGAAATGCTTGAAAAGAAAACCTTTGTAAGTAGTTTGGCATGGTAATTCTTAGCAAATAAATAAATAAAAAAGACTGCATCAAAACTTTCACTGCAGACCTTAATGACGTGTGTCAAGTGTGTATGTCGATAAGCCTTTTAAAATATCAGATAATTTGACCTTTTTTTATGAAATGGCAAGTTTAGATCAGCTATAATGCCATGTGGTGCGACTCCTAGAGCTAAGACTCAATTTCACAAAGAATTGATTCTTCAATTACGAGGGAGTCGAGTCCTAAAAAGAGCTGTATTCAAGTCTACAGCGGTGATAAAATGTAATTCAATCTCCCAAAAATTCTAATGAGTAATGAAGAGTAGACATTAGTTTGCAGCACAGGGCAATGACAAAAATGAAAGGTCTTACTGATCTTTAAAAAGTTTGGCATTTGACAGTATGGCATTTTAAAAATGTGGCGACATCGATCTGTCTAGCCTAGGGAATGTTTAGATAGACAAACAATTATAAAGAGCACCATGGAACACAAAAAGGCGTTTTGTGTGAACAAGCCTAAGTCAGTTTGGTTTCAAGGATTTGATTAGTTCGACAGTTTTGCATGGCTTAAAATTATTCTTTATCTGACTGATTTATTGTTATAATTGACACTATCGGTTTAAGTTCATATTTACTTTTTTTTTTTTTTTTTACAAAAGAATCATATTTTACACACAGTATTTTAGTATTTATAGTGACATTACTGCCCAGCAATGTTGGAAACAGACAATCTCTCTGTCTATAATATATGTATTTACAAACGCACAAACACGTTCTCAATAAGAATCACAAAATATTATTTCTGATTTAGTTTTTAGAATTGTCTTTGATTCCAAAACCTAAAAATGGCAAATCCATGATGTTTATGCATTTTTAATTAATAATATTTGTAACATTTTTTTAAATTACTTTTATTTGGTTACACCTCATGACTTTTAGTCATTAAATTAAAAAAAAATCTTGAATATAAAAAAAATTCAAAACTATTTGAAACCAACATATTGTTTTATTTCATACTATTTCTAGGCAGTTATTGCAAGCCAGATTTTTGAAAAGAAGCTCTTGTACGACCCTGGGAACACCAGCTGACTAGTGGCCCCAATTTGAGTTTGAGAGCTTTGTTAAGATATAAAGACTACGTAATAAGGTGAAGCAAATACAATATTTAACATGCTGATTTTGTAGAGACATAATAAGTAGGCTGTAAAAAACGGGATAAAAATAAGACCTCTATGAACTCTTTTTATTCACTTTAAGGTGAGCAGAACCTGTTGGATGTTTTGCCGCAAAAGCTCGCTCTTCAATGGATGCACATTTCCTCACCTCCGATCCAGCCTGGATGAATGGGTCTGCATCCAAACTCACCGATAATATCAAGTGTGTTTTTTGAACATTAAAGCATGTCAACATATTCTGTTACACCAAATACACAAAATAATGATCTTTAAAAAAGCATCATATGACCCCTTTAAAGACAGTATTCATGTAGGCTTCACCAGACCATGTACAGGAGATGACAGCCTAGTCCTAAGGTAAATGGATTCTTAATGCACCTATTATACTAGAAACCAACAATTTTTCATTTTCCTTGACTATTGTGCAGCAACATCATCCATCACTGACTCACATGCCTACGCAGGGAGGGAAGTGTGAAGGTTAAAGGCTATACGAAGCCATAAAGTTTAACAGAGAAGATCCACTATGAATTTATTTTCACAATTGGGGATAAGAAGTCCTGGTTTATTTTAGGTGTCCTTGGTATTTCACATATGGCAGCATGTTGACATTACTTTAGCCTTCCAGCTTTCTGTGTCTATAGAATGTGTCACTATACAACTGTGTGTCACATAATATCATGCATTCTCATGGTCTTTTTTTGTGTACCATAAAATAAAATTACTATTTACAAATGAATGCTTCATGGCAGCGCTTACGTGCTCATCTGGTACCCTGAAACAAAGCCATTTAGATTACTGCTTCATTCAAATTGAGCTGAAAATCACCAAAACTGTTGCATGCATGTTTAAAACAATGTGGATTTTTAGACAAAATAAGTCTAACAAAGTTCAACCATGGACATGTGTCACAGGACAATTCTGTCATTTGTTTTTAGTTTTCCGAAAGTCATTAAAATTCCCATCAGTGTCTTGTATTGTTTTGTATTTTTTAAAAAGATCATTTTTAAACAAATATTAAAATGCTTGATTCTTTTTTTTACTCTATTATCATACTTAAATATTTAATTAGTTTGTATGTCGGATTGTCTTACAGTAGTGTATGACTGGCAAGGCCTGGGTCTGGGACAAGAACAAGCTATAAAGCCATTTGAAAATCTGCAAAAAATAATGAAGGCATGGTAAAAAGGTTTCCAAGACATTTTTATTGTGACCTTGCTACAGCAAAAAGAAAGTTGAAATCTGTCCAAACAAAAATCTGTTAAAAAAATGTTCACGCTAAAATCAACTCCTTAGATATAAAATGGCATGTTTGAAGAAATGCCTAATTGTTGGTAGATCAGAACAATTTAAGAAATTATCATAATTTTCAGATCCCAGTCATCATATGATCACCTATGCTCTATTCGAACTGATCGACATGTGGCAGAAGATTTACATAATAAATTTCATTTTAAAAATCTAATAAAAAAAGTTGATTTTTAAATTGTAACATTTCACAACATCACAGTTTTTACTCTATTTTTAATTAAATAAACGCAGCCTTGGTGAGCATAAGATCCTTTTTTTTCCAGAATGTTCTTTTGAATGGTAGTATATGTGATTAATCCACTGAATCAGTCTGTTACATAATCATGCTCTACAAAAGCCCCGGAATGCTAGTAAAACATTGATGAAGTAATGAATTAGTCACACAGTCAAGAGCCACAGCACTCACATGCATCACTCACCTGTCCACCCCAATAGCTGTCAGTGTGAAAACCGACACGTACACCATCACCGGCTGAATGAGGAACACCAGGTAGCACATGAATCTTCCAAATACCCACCCGCGTGGATTAAAAGCATATGCCAGGGTAAAGGGCACGCAGGTAGCACACATCAGCATGTCGGAAAACGCTAGGTTACCGATGAAGAAGTTGGTCACGTTGTGCATTTTTTTGGTGTGGCAGATGACATAAAGCAGCAGGTAGTTCCCAAAAACTCCAACCAGGACCACAAGAGTGTAGCAAGGGATGATGAGAGGTTTAAAAGACTGAAGGAGCTCCACGCCAACAAACTGAGGACTGCGCTTCGATGTGTTCGTCGACTGCAGCATGACTTCGTAGATTTGGCCCATGCTGGAATTCTCCATGGTGACATTTTCCAGGCAACACGCGGGCACAGGAGTGCTGAGCCATTCGCCACCACTGCCATCCATGCTTACGGCTGGAATACTGCTTGTAGAGACCTAAAGACTGGGTGTTTTGGCATATTAACAAGGAAAGAGATACATTTTGGTTAGCTTTCTTTATAACTCAACTCCGTTTTAAACCATTAACAGATGGACTGAAATGTCCACGAAGAGTAAGTGAGTTGAGTGTGACCTGTGGAGGCGTGTGGTACCAAACATGCAGTTCGCACCATATAGGTGCTAGTTTGTCTTGAAAGTTAGCTTGGCTCATATAATGAAGTGACTTTTTCAAACTTTAATGAGCACAGCTACAATTTTTCTCAAAGTTCCTGTTCTCAATACCAAACCACTTTCCGCACAGCAGTACTTCTGAACATTAGCAAGCGTCAAATCTAAAAGCCCTTCATTACAGCCTTGACTTGCTTCGGATGGCTGGTTTCCGAAGCAGGTCACTCGTATAAAAGAATCAGAGTACGTGTGTTCCTTTCAGTATTTGCTCTTTCAATCCAAACAGCAGTAAACAGAAACTTGTAAGGACACTAATGAAAGCCAGCATAATTTGAGTCAAAGATGCGTCTGCTGCAATCAGACATGGCCGTTGCCGTTGAAATGCAAATGAGCCTCATTCACTCGTGCCCTCTAATTAAGTGAATAAATGGTTCATAGATTAAGCATAAATGCTCTTTGGTATTTCCTGTAGCAAGCTACTGCAAAAGCAGTGATTGTGTTTTCTGTTTTTGTCTCTTTACCAATCAGTCAGTTGTTGTAAAAGCAATAGATACTGCATAATTAATTTTTGTTTTAAATGTGTAACTCATCAACATTATCATTTTCAGTCAGGGTTTGTATGGTAGTGCATTTCGCATTTGACATACATTCAAAAATACCCATTTGACAGGGATCAATTGTGGTCCTTGAATCATACATGCATCAGACAAATGAAGCACCAATCAATCTTTGCAGATAAAATTGTTTTTATGGACAAGACAGTACTAAAATCGCCATATGTTCAGTGCAGTTCATTTTGAACAGCATGATGAGCTGAATGTCAGAGACAACTTATTTAATTAGCACAAATCTTCATTAAGCATATTCAAAGATGAGATTGAATAAATATCCCCAGGGTGTCGACTGGGGAATAGAATAAATTAACAAGCACTCACTGGATGAGATATGGAATATTTATAATGCATTTTCAGTATTTGAAATTAAGTGGCATTAAATGAATATCACAGTAATCTTAAAGTGACAGTTTAAATTTCCTAAAGGCTGTGTTAGTGTGATAGTTTTACTCTTCTTAGTTGCCTTGTCACTTGTTTGACAGTGTTAAAAAAAGTTACCATGGAGGTTTTCTTGTTTAAAGGGTTAGTTCACCCAAAAAAATTCTGTCATTAATTACTCACCCTTGTGTTGTTCGAAACCCGTAAGACCTTTGTTCATCTTCGGAACACAATTTAAGATATTTTTGATGAAATCTGAGGGCTCTCTGACGGCATTACGCCGGATCTGGGTCAGCGCCACCACACGCTCGCATCATGATACTGTCGTGAATGTGCGTCCACAAGTGATGCAGTAGAGACGAAAATGTGGAATAAAGTCGTTATTTTTGTTTTCTTTGCGCAAAATGTATTCTCGTAGCTTCGTAACTTTACAGTTGAACCACTGATGTCACACGGACTACTTTGTCGATCATCTTGGTACTTTTCTGAACCTTGAATGTGGTAGTTACCTTGCTGTCTATGGGAGGGTCAGAGAGCCCTCAGATTTCATCAAAAATATCTTAAATCGTGTTCCGAAGATGAACGAAGGTCTTACGGGTTTGGAACAACACAAGGGTGAGTAATTAATTACAGAATTTTCATTTTTGGGTGAACTAACCCTTTAAGACACTTTAGCAAAAATGGGGATTGCTTTGGAACGTTTATTTATTTTCAGTAATTAATTTAATATCTTTTAAAGCACAGATTCACCAGTTTGCACCTCTGCAGTGAATGGGTGCCGTCAGAATGAGAGTCCAAACAGCTTGAATTTTAGCTGTAAGTAATGATTTGAAGTTAAAAACATCTTAATGATGGATTTAGTTTATTACAAACATGCAACTTTTCCCTTCACAAGATGTTAATTGATGGACTGGAATCGTGTGAATTATTTGTGGATTATTGTGATGTTTTTATCAGCTGAACTCTCATTCTGACGGCACCCATTCACTGCAGAGGATCTAGAGAAGCAAGTGACGCCATGCTAAATTTCTCCAAATCTGTTCAGATGAAGAAACACTCATCTACATACTGGACGGCATGAGGGTGACTGCATTTTCAGCCAATTTTCTTTTTTGGGTAAACTATACCTTTAAGCTATTTTAGACCTAATATCAAGATGTGCATTGAATGTTGGCAAAATATTTGTGAGCTCTCTTTTTTATCTGTATTTCTCAGGTCTAATTATAGCCTAACACACTGAGCAGAAACTTGCAATAATGTTTGCTTCTGAATTGCACCCAGACTAAACAGCTCTTGATATCTATATTATGAGTAAACAGACACGTGAGGTATGTGTTATTCTAAGCCTCCAGCATACTGTGAGTTTCTTTAAACCACTCTGGGTAGCGTCCCTTCCCTGTGGGTGCTTCAATTATGTTCAGCCGGTAAAAACGTAGACTAATGGAACCATTGACGTGCTCTTTAGTGCTCACATTAGAGCGAGAGCCCAGGTTAGCAGAACTGAGTCAGTGTCCCTGCGGTTTGCCGTACAATGCTGTCAACAAACCAAAAATTGCCGAAACAACCTAATATAACTAGGGATGGGTGATGACTATACCTAAAATTTTAAATCTTAATATTTTTTCAGATTTCAACAATAATTGATATTTTTGCATTTGCTTTAAACGTATTAAAAATGTGAAACAGCTATTGGTTCTAAGCACATTCAAAATGTTTAGTGCAAAATCAAAAATGTAGACCTAGCAACGACTTCTTTTTATTAAATTAACACATGTAAATGTGACAATATGAAAAAAAAAGAGTGTAAAATGGGTACAATAAGTGCATTCTGACAGCTTCTTTAGAGCAATGTAATTTACATGCAGTACTACATTTTACACTGTGCAACTGGGGTAAATTATGAAAGCGTTTAACAAGTTTTTTTTAGCTAAAATCACAAATCTGTCAACGGTTTCTGGTTTAAGAGATGCTCTGTAGGTTCCCACTATCACTAAAAACTGTTTCAGATGGGGAACTATAGGCACTTCTTGGCTAGTTTGCAGGAGGACTGAAATTGCCTATTGGTGCTGTCTTTGGCACATTAATCTTCATTTTCGACAATATTCATTATTTAATATCAATATAAACAATATTATGTAATTTTATATTGCTTACTTGATAATCTCGATAATATCTCTAATATTCAGTATATTGCCCTGTCCTAAATATAACTGCAGTTTAAAACACACACACACACACAACACACACACATTCAGTACAAAGCTGTTGCAAGCAATGCAACACAAAATGCTATGTGGTCAAAAATTGTCTTAGAAAACATGATCCTAATTATGCTGATATAAAATGTGAAAAGAAAAAATCTGTCACCAATAACTGCAGCAAGAAGCTATTTACTTCAATGCTGTTAGGTGCTCTTTGAAGTGATAGCATGTTATGAAACAAAAAAACCGAGGCCCTATTAAAATCCTTTTTAAAATAGGCCTATAACATTAAAAATCACAACCGAGAACTTTCCATCAAGTTGTGAGGTCTTCATTTAGCACCAGCGTGCCACAGTGACTTTTATTGTTA